GCAATCCTTCGTAAATTCAATTTAACACCTTTTGGCGGCATCCTTTTCGCGCGCGCGCTTCGACGCTACGAGACACATGCATTGTTATTTTGCAGCGCGCAATGCGCTAGCCACTTTGGCCACGGGTGTTGTTTATTTTGCTGTTGTTGTTGTTGTTGCTGCTGGGTTCTTTGCTGCTAGCCATGCTTTTATTTGAACATATTTTAATTCTTTCGCCTGTAGCTACCGCTGTTTTACATGTTCTATTTGTGGTCATCGCACGTGCGACAATTTTCACATTTGATCCTGTCCGCTACGCGACGCGGCGGCGTGGAATACCACCGGCACGCCGCGCGCGAATGGCAAGGTGGTGGTTGGCGAACATTCACATACTCGTGCATATTTGTATGTAGAATTCATGTTTTGGGCTGCCATTTATCGCCGTGGCGGCTGCGCTGGCGGCGGCTCTGATGGTGGCAGCCACAATGACACCTCCTTGGCATTGGCATGGCACGCTACAGAGAAGAGGCTGTGGTGAAGCAGCATCGACATTTTGTGACGCTACATACATATTGCTTTGTGAAATTCTTTCAAGTTTCGCCTGCTGCTACTGCTGCTTCAACAAAACTTTTCCAATAAACATTTTGATTTGTATAATTATTTGCAGCAGAAAGCGCTGTATGTAGGCGTGCAGATTTCAATATGCTTCTACGTTTTAGATTTCATATCAGCGCGCTTGCGCATGCTGGCACCACAGATGATGTTGCTGATGTTGATGATGGCACCATATCGTCATTGTGTAGTCAAATGAGCAAGACTTAACCCACGCATGCGTGGTTGCTTAAGCAATAAATGAACAAAAAAAAAAAAATTAATAATAAATAAAAAATAAAAGTAAAGCTACAGTTTACGCTTGCCCCTCAACTCATCTTCGTTTCACTGACTGCTGATGATATCATGTGCGCGAGAATATAGTCCAAATGTAAAACTTTTTGGCATACGAGCATTATTTAGCACTTAAACAATATATTTAAATTAAAATTGTTAACAAAAATAAGTTTGCAGTGGACACAGATCTGGTGGTAGCGTCAACCCCCGCACTCATAGCGCTATGCCGGTGCCCTAAACTCTGCCAACATCCACGCAAAATGTTAAAGCATTGACCAATTTTGGTAGTTAACCAAGCACGTTCATAGATTTTGCTTATCTACCCAGTCCAACCACCCACTTTCGGCAGATGTCGCTAAATATTTATGACGCACACCTATGTACATTAGGGTGTATGTAGAGTAACATAAAAAAAGTCGCTGGAATTATAAGATCTATTATATTTTGAAACTTCCGCCGAAATATTTCAGAAAAATATTAAGATTTACGGGAGCTGGAAGTACCTCCAAAAATAGTTTTTTTTATAAACAAAATTAGGTAGAAATTTTTTTTTGCCAAAAAATCACCTCAGATGAACGGTAAACGCCTAGAAAGTCTAAATAAAAATGTTAAACAATTTTATCATCGGAATCAAAATACCTAATGAGATTTTTTGCAGTATTTTCAAATCAGCCCAGCTCACGTAAATCTTAATAGCTCTGATCCAGTACTCCATGAACTTGCAGGTTTTTACACAAAACTTGCAGGAAGTTACGAGAACAATGATCGCGTACTCCAAAATCCTTTAAATGAGAGTGATTTTTGGAGAGTTGTGTAGAGAATGAAGTTGCAAGATTTTACCCGAAAATTTTCTTGTGGTAAAATCTTGAAAACTGTCAAGCGATTACTGGTTGTCGTTTTTACAAGAAAAAATGCTTTTTTTGTTCCCGTACTTTTTGTTTTTACTCACTTTTTACTCTCACTTCAGATAATAATTTTGCTGTTTGACATTTTTACAGGATTTTACACCAAAAGTATTGGATCAGAGCTAGAATTAAAAAGAATTTTTTGGCGGACGTCCTAAAATATAATAAATTCTATATTTCCGGTGGAAGAACCGTAACTTTTTTGGTGCGCCACCCTAATGTCCTTATGTATGTATGCCAATTCATACGTCTGAAGCATCTTTTTCTCTTTCCCGTTTGTTTTCATGTTTTATGAAATAAAATGTATGGCTAACCGAACTTTGTACTAATTTAAGTACATTTGATCGAATAGCGTTTTGTTGCCCAAATCTGTAAGTCTATTTGCTGCAAAATATATGAAAGCTTGGCTAATCTATGACTACGTCGCCATTTATGTTGCGATCAGACAATGAAAGAGTTCGTTGAACTTTGAAACTAGGTTAGTTTTATGAAGCACGCAAACATTCTTCTTCTTATTTGGCAACAAGACCAAGTAACTTCGCTAACTTTCTCTCCTCTTTGCAAAGTTCTCATAGCAAAGGGCAAAAAAAAAATCGGTTAAAAGTTCTCTCGAGCAGACAGCAGGTGTTTTCTATGTTTTTGGGATCGTTGAACACCAAACTGCAGTCCGTTCTGTTCCATCATGTTAGGATCCTTTTCTAACCTGATTTTTTTTTTATAAATATTGGCGGATTTAAAAGTTATGTAAAAAATATCCATCATTTTGGACCCGCAATTTGCTATTTAAAATTCGAGCCGCCATTTTGGATTTTAAAAAACCTAATACATACTCGTAATCAGCGACCTTAAACACTTCTTAATACCAAGATTAAAGTAAATCCGTCAATATAACCTATATTTTTTAAAATTTGGTAATCACATAAAGTCCAGGTTTTTGAGGTTAGGAAAAATCCTGACTTGATGCAACAAAACGAACTTCAGATTCGTGTTCAGCCACCTCGAAAATACCTGTCTGGTCAATAGAACCTTAAATAATTTTTTTTGTAGTGGTTCAACCTAAGTGTACCCGGGTCCTTCTGCTCTTAGCCCTGCCATAAAGTTCAAGGGTGCTCTTACCTTCATTTCTCACCCACGGGCGCCGAGTCAAAAGATATTTTAATTAACTATGTGCGTGCCATTAGAACGCTTCTGTACTTCTACATTCCATGTTCTTCAATCAACATCAGCCTCTTTAACAGAGCTATAGATCTCGAAATCTCCAGCAGAGCTTTATCATCTCTGTTTGACAGGCATTATAACTTATGCAGCCATAGTCTGGTGAAAATCATTTTATTAAAGTGGCAATCAGATAAAAGTTAGCACCGTGCAGAGACGCGCATGCCTCGTTATATCAGGCGATGTGAACAGTGCACTTAAAGCCGCACCAAGAATTTATAAGTGGCAGCTCAAATAAGGACTCACAGCAACCTTTTATAAACTTAAAAGGATGATGGCTTAACGGGGTCAGGGCTGACTTAGATTGCCAGACTTGGGTTTCAGGATTCGTATACGATATCTAGATAACTAGAGAAGAATGCGATGCCGACATATCTCCCGGAAATAATGGTATTGCCATCTACACTCATAGCTTAAAGACGAAAACAGAAGTGCGGTTCTCTATTGCCTGCCTAACGTCTGCAGTGTCTTTCAGGCAGAATTCTTTGCCATAGAGCAGGGTGTTTATATTAAAAAAAAAGGAAATGTCTATTAGGGAAAAGTACTACATATATACAAACGGCAGTGATAGGTTTAGTATTCAAGGTAGTAAAGTCAAGAATTATTCGGAAATGTTACGCATTGCTTGAGCCAACAGTACATACTAACTCCGTCCCTACATGTCATTGTTTCCTGACATCCTCCTTGGAGGCTCGGGACTATTCTGTCGAGGAATAGCATCACTGCGTGACGTCACGTAACTCTTTGCTGGGTACTTGTACACAACAATATCGAATGTAACGAAATAGTTGATTAGATTGCTAGACTTAGTTCGGAAATGCTAATCGACGATGCGGATAACTCCCTACAACCACCGTTTTGTTATCGACTGAGGAAAAGTGATGAGTACACCACATCCGTAACAAATCACTTATGGACTAACCGACACGACTGGGAAGTATCAAGGTCTTTATTTTTCCATATGCATAGGCTCTTTGCATGTCGCCAATAGGTACTTTTTCTTTTGGTAGTCCACCGCAAAACAAACCATTTTTGCTTCCTTTTCTGAGGGGGAAAATATTGCCCACGGGCTGTGGCGATCAGTTCGATGACCACAGCGCTGCTGAAATTAAAATGGGCAGTTCATATCATATAGTCGTCTTGTCTAAAACCTCATTTTACCTCGAACGGTTCAGAGAGGTCCTTCCCAAATTGGACCGTATTAATTTTGCGAGACTACCAAATTTAAAAACTGCGTTAGAGGTAGCTGCTTTTTGTGTTTTCTAACCCAGCTTTAAAATCGACAAAAGGGTGTCGAGCTAACCCGCATTATTCCAGGAGTTGTCGTTCACCGATGAGGTACAGCAGCAACTGAAAAAAACTTTTTAAAACCGACCATGCTGGATGCATACATACATACATACTGTAGTACACTTCGATGATTATCGAATAGTTCACTGGTCGACTAACAAGAAAAATAACTACGAAAAATGTAGGGAGTTCCAACCCGTGTTAAATTCTTTTTTAAACGGTATGTGCACTACTTCAATTCAAAATTTTAATAAACCTGTTCAAAATTGCAGAGGACAGCAGTAACTTGAAAGAAAATACTTATTTTAATGTTGGTTCGTTTTGGGTTAACAGCCGAGATGGGCACTACTACAACAAACCTGATGAGAACTGCAAAGAAATAATATGTTGTAGTGTTCGTTCGTGTTGAGTTAGCCTGACTTGCTTAGAGGATGCTCCTTTTTTGGCTGAAGCCACAGTCAGCTATTCGATTGATGCTTTGCCTTGCTGACTTAAATTATTTTATATGGCGAACATAACGTTGATGTGCCACTATTTGGTGTTCAATGAATATTTATTAAAATTTACCAAGGCGCACCAGTAGCCTGAGTTATAGGTAGCTCCAATTTTTTATGCTTAGGTTTTCTTTAAAAGAATATCTGTACTTTTTCTCTTTTCATACTTACCTTTTTCTCAAAATATTGCTTTTAACTAATAATAACCTAATTCCTTTTCTCCTTTCAGGCGTACGAGCTCTCTACATTAACTGGCACACAAGTGATGCTGCTAGTCGCCTCAGAGACTGGGCACGTTTATACGTTCGCCACCCGCAAATTACAACCAATGATCACATCAGAGGCTGGTAAACAACTAATACAAACATGTCTTAATTCACCAGATCCGCCCAGTGTGGGCGGTGGTGATCAACGTATGTCAGCGACTGGCTTCGAAGAGACCGAACTAAGCTATAACATAGCAGACGAGGACTCAAAAGTAAGACAATTAATTTACGGCCATCACGGTCACGCTCATCTCAGTCATCCGCAAGCGCCCGCATCACACTACGGACTCGAGCAGAGTATAATGCAATCGCCATATAGTGGTGGCCAACCATCACCGTTATCGCACGCGCAAGCGTACGCAACGCACGGTGGGCATGCGCATCATACGCACGTACCACATGTGCCACATTCGACGCACTCACACATGTCGCATACGCATTCGCAGCGATAGGTGAATGATGGCTGGCAGGGCATAACACAAATGTTAGGCGATAGGATATGCAATCAAATTGCTTGTAAGCGCATTTTTCTGGCGTGTGAAAGCGCTTGAATGCGTGCAGTGCTTTCATTTAAGCTTTCACGAAAGCTTTCATGCGCTTGATTGTTGTGTGCTGTGTGCATACAGTGCCTTCGTGCGGCTTAGCGTTACTCTAGATTTGATGAAAATTATAGTGTCAGCTGTCACATTTTTTTCTTTATTTAAACGCATGTACTTAATTAATTAATTAGTAAAAATCGACATTCCAAACTACTTATATGTATTTCCTTTTACTACCTTCTTGCATATAATATACATATAGTGAAAATACGTAACGTAGTACTCGTGGTCATAAACGTTAGCTGCATTCGCGCATGCTTTCTTATCAGCAATATTACTTAGTTGTATGTATCGAATAAATAATAACGAATATTACGATCAATGATCTCGCCTTAAATTAGAACATAAATGCTCAATACTTTAATATGAAGAGAACTAAAAGAAGTAGAAAACAAAAACAAAAACGAAAATACGAAACTAGTCATTTATGATGAGTTGACACGAATCTAAATCTAAAGTAATAAGACAAAATCCAATTACCTACATACATACGTACATACATATCATATTCTTGTTGTAATCTCCATTAAGTTGAACTGTGCCATATTTTACTCGTACTTCAATTTCCAAACACCACTTAAGCCAGTCAAACACATGTCTCCATAGTTGCATATATTTAAATGAAGTGAAGTGTGCTTTTAGGCGTCGAGCGAGCGTGTGTGCGTGGCATATCCTTGAGTCGTGGGGCGAGCAAACAAATGACACATACCCGCACTTAACACGCCACCCTCAGCTTCACTTCTTGCACTCAAAGCGTGTACCAGTGCCATAAATTGGAGCCTACTGTACCCATTCTAAAAAAAATAGTAAAAAAATAACAAATGACAATCAATTGTCTTATAAACAAATCACAAAGAGACGAAAAGGGCGAAATATCGTGTGAAAATGAAGGCAAAGAGAAAAACTAGTGAATTTTTTCTTATCTAAATAAAAAAGTTATTAACTGAATTTAGTGCCATTTTTGAACAAACTCGAAAGCTTTAAGTTTTCGTCGGCTATTGCAAAAATAAGAAAAACGAAGCGTAAAAAAATAAATTAGAAATAAATATTTTTTTAATTTGCGAATGATACGTGCAATAAATAATTTACATAAGTAATTACCAATAAAAAAAATACTATAAATAGTGTAAAAAAAATATTCTGCTGCAGAAGAGTCTAAGTAGTAGTGGTCGCGGATATGAGAATGAGCGTGATCGGTTGCATAATGTGTTTGTTTTAGTATGTAGTAGTAAAGTAGTAAGTGTTTAGTTGTTGTAAGAATTTAAACATACGTCAAAAATGTTAGACAAAGTTGCTTATTGTCATTTAAGTAGATTTGCGAAATCAAAAAAAAAAAAATTAAGCGAAATCATAAAAATTCATGTATTGGTATGGAGCTGAAGGCGTGTGTGACTCAAAAACAGGAAATTCGGAAAACTTTAAACAAATTTTCAAGAGAAACTTTTTTTTTATTCAAATTGAATTCTTCTGAACTCACCTAAGTTGTTCTAATGAAATGCCATAGAGCTAATTTAAGCTACAAGCAAATTTTTGTCTACATGTTTCTTTTTCAATTCGTAAATTTTTTTAAACATATTTCATTAGATTTTTTTCAACGAACTTTTTTTAACAAATTTTTTTTTACTATCTAATTTCTGTAATTTTTTTTAAAATATTTTAATTTTTACAAAAACATTTTCGGGCGTATAAGATTAAAAAAAATCTTTCAAAACTAATAAAAGCATTAAAAATTAACCTCTTGTACTTCCATTTTTTCAATTTATTGTATACAAAAATTTTTAACTTATTGAATATTGATAAAGCGACCTTAAGGCAATAAAAATTAAAAATAATATTTCAAAAGAATTTAAAATTTTTTTTTGCAATTTTTTTAGAAACCACACAAGTTTTCTAATAAAGAAATTGCTTCAAATATATTCAAGTTAAAGTTCAAATGCTAATAAAAAAATATTTAAATTTATTTAATCAGATTTACTAAAGTTGTAAAATGAGTAAAAAATTAAAAGCAAAAATTAAAATTTTCCGTATTACAATTTTGAAGCATGCTTTGAAAACTAAAACTTTTTCTATTCATAATAAATTGCCTACCTAAATCAATTTTGTGCCCAAAATGTACATTGTCTAAAATGTTTGATTCACTTATTTACAATTTTTCCAAACTCCTGTTAAAATCCGAATGCAAAAATTTGTGCGTAAAACACGCTTCGTAGAACTGCCAACATGAATTTCAGAACATCGCTATATTTTTTCTATTATTTAATGCTTAGCACATTTGATGTATGTAGACACTTTTTTAGTTTTATATACCATTTAGTTATGGTTTTTACTTTTACAAACAAAACACACATACATATACATACATACTTTTATTTATTTCTGTCAAACGGAAATCAAAAAACCATAGTAAAGAAGACAATACTTTATTTGTATAAAAAAGGAAATAAAAAAAATATTTTTTAAGTTTAGCAAATGCACTATTAAATCAATTAATCGGCTCCCAAATAATTCTTAAAATATTATATTAGAACACAAAAAAATTTACACAATCAAAATCAAAAATCCCATAACCGCTGTAATTATATAAAAATAAATACGAAACTATTGTAATTTTAGTGAATTTGTGACTCGAAACTGGGGAACTTTTTGCTTTGTTTCTTAAACAGTGTATTTCTGATTTTTAAAAACTCAATAGTACATATTTTTTATGCTGAACCGACTGACGCAATTTCTTTAAACCCATATTCGTTTTTTAGTGAGTCAACTAAGCTTTTTTCTCTATTTATTTTCTATTGCTAAAGTTATCATTTTTAAAAGCTTTTATTTAACTTGCTACGGCTATGTACATATGTCTGTTTGGGTCAAAGCATGCAATCGAATTTTAACCAACTTCCGTATGAATTAGTCCGCTAGGTGGCGGAGAAATCGAGATATTTGAAACCCCCGTTATTAAAATCCGATTTGGTTCATACATGGGATTTATATTACCTACATATGAATGTGCTCAATATTCGATTTTGCCGCACTATGGTCACACGGGGTTCAGTGGACTCCAGACCGAAATTCGTCGGTGCAAATCGATTTGTGTACATCGACTGACGCCATGCTGGTTTTCCAAAGGGACTTATTGAATAAAACTCCAGAAATAACAGGTAAAGTCACAAAGTGGATTTTAAATAGTTTCTACATAAAATATATAGCCGCAAAGTTGGGCTGGGGTTCACTGGACCTCGTGTGACTATTACGGGTTAAACACAAGTGACATCTTCTTCAGAACTGTTTTCGTAATAAAGCTTTTTTCAACTTACATATAACGTTTGACATAAATATTGTAATATTTTATTAAACTGACTAAACTTAGTTAGACCTTTAAAAGCACTTTGAACCACTTTTCAAAATATTTTAGGAATAAAACGTTCTTAAATATCTTTTGTGCGACTTACCATCATTTTACATACTGATTAAATTTAATTTTATGGGGCAACCCTCTTAGAAATATTTGCGAAACAAATCTTGTAATACTTTACTCAATTGGTATTTGAATGCTTAACAGGTGGCGACACTCTTCAAAATAAAGCTTTCTTAACCCTCATTCATTTGTCATCCATATTCAGCCCAATTCTGAATACTCTAGGGGAGTTTGTTCTCTGAGGATTAGTTTCTCCCGAGAAAGAAATCCTCCAATAATAAACTCCCAAGGAATACTGTTTTCCCCGAAAATTTGGGAGGAGGAAATTCGAACTTCGATAACTATTTGGCACTTTTTTAACAGCTCAACTCCGCCATATAAAGTAAAAAATCGTCAGGGAGTTTTTATTCATGATAGGCGCAAAGCGAAAAGAGAGAAAACTTCCAGGGAGTTTCTGTTCAGAATCGGCCTGATTGTAATTCTTCATTCCACGTATTATTTAAATTGATGTTCACGTTTTAAATAGGTGGCAATCCTGTTAAAAATGTCTCCGCAACCAAAGCTTTCCTAGATCTCGTTCGTTTGTCATCCATATTGTACAATTTCGATGCACTTATGGTTTAAAGTAGAATTTAACTTTTCAAGCAGGTGGCATCCCTTTTCAAAAAATATGCTATATTTTAATCCAGGCCATAAACCTCTCGGTTTATACACACATGAAAATATTTTACTTAACTTAGTTTCGAAATAAAGCTTTCTTAAACCTCTCTGGTTTGATACCTTTATTAAAATATTTCGCTTAACTTGATAATTTAGTGGACTTTAATTTTTTAACAGGTAGCAACCATCTTAAAAAATAATTTCGAAACAAATCGTTTTTGGAAACCGTTTGTTTGACGCCCACTTTGTTGTGGTACAATTTGACTTGTTAATTAAATTGCCATTGAATTTCTAAACAGGTAGCAGCTACCTTTAACAATAGGTTTGAAATAATGCCTTCTTAAACCTCTTGTTTGATACCCATATTAAAATATTTCGCTTAACTTGTAAATGGATTCTAACTTTTTCAATAGGTGGCAAGCCTCTTAAAAAGTAATGTCGAAATAAATATTTTTTGAACACCTTTCGTTTGACGCCCACTTTATTATGATACAATTTGACGTATGAATTAATCGATTTTAACTTTTTTAAGAGGTGGCACCCCCACAAAAATATTTTGGAAATGAATCGTTTTGCAGCCACTTTCGTTTGACATCTACACTGTTGTCATATTTTATTTAACGTGCTTATTAATCGATTTTAATTTTGAAACAGGTGGCAACTCTCTTCAAAAAATAGCCTTTATTTTATTCCAGGCTCAACCTATCCGTGTGCCAAATTTTATTGAAATACGTCTAGCAGTTTTAGCAAGAGCAATAAACATACTCACTCACAAACTTTCACATTTAAAATAGTATTAGTAGGATTAGTAGGATCAGTGGCATTTTCGACCGCGGCTTTATAAAAGCTAGTTGCGGCACTTTGGATCGCCTTTTTTGGACGCGGACATAGGAGGGACGCAAGGCGAATTTATACAAGGTGGTAGCGGCAGCCCAAACACAAAAACTGCACAAACAAATTATACACACATTGGTAATCAGTGCAAACCAAAATTACAACAAACACTTCACTTTGACAAACAGTACAAATTCGCCTTGAAATCAGTTGATCCGGTAACACCACCTTATATAAATTCGCCTTGGACTGGCGGATATTCCTCTTGAATGGTTTGCCTAAAGTAGGCAGTCGAACTTACCCACATTACTTAATTTTTTGTCCGTTCTGGACAAATGTTCACCGAACGAACCTTATGAATCCTCAGAAACTGTTGGTCCTTGACATTCATGTGAAAACCTAATAGAAATTGTTGGTATCGGCCTTTTCTATTTTTATTAAATAACTTAGTTGAGATTGAATTCTCTAGCACATATGCATACAGTTTTTCAACCTCTTTGTGAATGATTTGCAACAAAGCACTGCATTCATGAGCGCTGCCCAAAAACATGTTCAAATACAACTTCGTAAATTCATTCATAAATCGGCGCTATCAACTGCTAGGTCATTCATACATAAATATGTAATGGTAGGTGCATACTCGATTCGCACCAAAAACTTGTACGCACTACGCGTACACTTTTTGTTTGTTTTATGCGTATTAAAATGCATATTGCGTCGTCGCTTCCGCTTCTCGTAAAACCAGCGCCAGTTGAAGCCTACGCAAGCTAAGCTAAGCTACATGCAAAACAAAAAATCAAAATACGAAAAGCTAATGTAAAAATTTATATGAATACTTAAATTTTTATTTTGAAATCCAGCTTCAAAATAATGCGGTATCTTAATTTAATTAGCTTGTTTTTGAAAAACAAAACTCCAATAAGTCAGAGATAAGTAGAGCGCTCGCCAATTTGTTTCTGCTGATCTTCACTGAGCTTTTCCGCACTCTACGGGCCTGAGCCCCCACCCAAAGTGAATAATGTCAATGTCAGTGGCAATGTGGCAGCAGTGTGGCACTGGCAAGCGTGGGACACAATGACGTGTGCCATGCCGCCCAAAAGTTTGCATACATGCAAACATATTCAGTTGTATGAGTGTCTTATGTACATACATATACACTCAGCGCGGCGGCGATCAGTTGTAGGCAGGCAAGCGCATGCGCGCAAATGACATTGCCGATAGCACGAAAATAAAAATATGAAAAAAGCGAGTTGATATAAACGTGGTAAAAAACATATCAGCGCAGCGCAACGCAAGCGTCGTTCAGTAAACAAAAAAATAATAAATAAATTTTCCACTCTTTCAGGCTTGTTAAGCATAGTCGACGCCGCATGCTTTGGCCGATCACTTTAGTAGTGATTGGCTGCTCGTAGGTGTTTTTGTTTTCGAACTCTTATTTACATACATTTTTTGTATGCAAAGTACTCAGCAATCAGCCGGTGTGGGGGCTCGCGCACGCTCAAATGAGCCATGTGTGCCACTGATCTCTGAGTGATCTTCACAATGATCTACATGATCAGCTCCACCGTCGGCGGCCACAGTTCATTATCAACAGTGCCAACTATGCTGTAGCTTAGCTTACTACTGCGCGCCATAGTAAACAATAGTTAAAACAATCAGGTTTTTATTATATTTATTAAATTAATATTAAATGCATATATGTATCTATAAGTAAGTGCGCTTGCTTGCCGCTTGAAGCTTCGGCCGACCAAATTTGGTAGGGGTTGTTCGCTGTAGTAGGTACATGCATGAATTGTATTGTATGACTAGCAATTGGTTCTGGCGGCCAGCGCTAGCCGCACTAGCGTAAGTGTTCGAACGAACCACCAGCGCGCGATCGAATGAGTGAGTGCGCGGTTTGAATTTGTCAATGAGTTGGTAAGTGATCGTGTCAGTGAGTGTGTGTGCGTGTGTGGGCTAGGGCCGCTAGATGTGAGCTAGAGAATCGCCGCTGCCGCCAACTCACTGCACACAACAGCTGGCTGTCAAGGTTAAATGCTGTACCGCGCGCGCGCACTGAACGATGGCGCGTTGTAGTGGGTTGATCGATTTTTTTTCTTCACGCTTCAAGCTTACAAGAATCTATATATTTTATTTTTTAATTGTTATATATTTTTTTCTACCAACTCATTTACGTCTACTTTAGCTACAATTTACAAGCGCGCTGTTGTGTTTAAGCGCTCACTTTTTCTTCAATTTTGTCGTTTTGTTTTTGCGCGGGTGTGCAGTTACGTTTGTGCTTGCTGGTGTGTCTGTATGTATATACATCTGTGTTTTGCGCTCTTACCGTGACTACCAAATATGGTTTTATTCTTTCATGTTTTTTCGGCTGCCACACAGCAGCTATGCGCGCTCCCTACTTTAGCGTGCGCCTTCCGTCTCCAACTTTCCACATCGCCGACTTACCAATGTAGATACATACATATATATGTATAAGTATGTCGTTAAAGAGAAGAAAAAAAGAACATTTTTCATTCAGTGATTTTTATTTAAACATAAATGCATAGCTTTAATTTTCTTGGCAATTACAAGTTTAGTAACAACAAAATCGAAAATCAAATTTTAATTTCATTTATTTTTCTTCTTGCTTGTGCGCTTATATTGCTAACTGTGCGCGCACGAAAATATCGACTGTCAATAACTTATTGTAGCGCATGCGCGACAAACGATTTTACATATTCGCGTAAGTATGCCGCGCAGCAGTTTGAAGTTAACAAAAGTCAACCGCCATTTATTTTATCTACTCGAGGAAGCATTGAACTTCCGCAGCGCAATTGTTGCTAATTCGCATATCGCTAAACACATACGTGCGCACAACATATGCATGAAGGCGAGCGCGCGCGCCGCTTTGTATGAATTTCGAGCGCGCGCGTCTTGGCGTTGAAATCTTCTGTTGTTGTGCTCCTTTTCAAGTGCCCTACCGTTCAGCGTTTCTCCGCGCTCTTTATACGTCCCCCATTTTTCACGGTGCGTATCATGCCTAAAACGCGTCGGCTTACGCTGCGCCCGTGTTGCTGGCATTTCAAAGGTTTTCGTTAATTTTGTACGTTTTTAGTGCATAAACCCTCCACATACTCTGTTCAAGCTCCCCGACTTAGCGGCTTCTGGGCGCGGTTGATCACTAAGTATTTGGTGACCACGTGCGCTTTTACATTGGCAACATTCGTAAATTTAATTGCGTGGAAACGGTGGTGGTGGTGGCGGCAGCATCCAAAGCATTTGAAGAACAACGGCACGCGTTCGTCGCCGTCGCCGTCGCCGCCGTCACCATCACCACCACAATCGCCAAGCCACTGCTTTCGATTAGGCGCGTACTTCAATTTTCGGCCACAGCCCACTTGGCCCGCAGGCACAACGCAGGCGCATTTATTATTGTTGTTGACTCATCTACCAACTAGCGAGCAGATGCCTCCTCTGTTGTTGCCCTTGCTGCTGTTGCAGCCGATGGCAATGCCGCCAACAACGAATATTCGAAATGCATTTACTCAACAACGACAAGAATCTTAGAAAGCATTCCGCATTGTATTCACCTTTGTGCAGTTTTGCGTTCGCCTACCACTGAAAATTTTCGTTCCTTTTCATCGTACTCGTATAATAAGATTGAAGTCAGCAGCCGCCAACAGTAGGCAGCGGCAGTTCAAGTCCAAGGCGGTAAAAAAATCGCAATTGCGCGTTGACTCTTGACTGGTCACTAGCCACCGCGGCGTATACCTTTCGCTTTGTTATGTGCGTCGCATCAAAGGTAACGCGCGCGCCGCGTGTGTGCTTGCCGCGCGCACGTGTGTTTGAATATGTGTGTGACACGCTGTGGAGGAGCAGTCCAATGTATGCCCTCTTAATTTCAATAGTCAACCTCATCGTTGTTGTCGTAGTCCCAACCATCAGTTGCTCTGTTCCAGCTGCACTCTTGGCTGATAATATCGCCTAAGCGTACTTTTTGTAATCCAATTGATTGTTTAGTAGTCGCTTCTGGAATTCGGCATTTTTTCTAAAGCTGCTGATGCTGCTGCTTACAGCCACAACGGCGGTGTGGTGAAGATATGAGCACATGCGAGTACATATGTATGTTGTGTGTTTGCGCTAGACCTCACCGCTGGTCCTGTTGTTTTCAAATCCATTGTAGATAGTCGCAGGCTTCTTAACGGTGGCGTCTCCTAAGTACGCGTTGCGGTTCTGTAAAGAAAACGAGAATCGGTTAGCTTTGTCTTTCGGATATTGTGGTAAATATTTGAAGGAATAATGAAATGATCGTTACAGTGGAGGAGTTGGCATTTTATTAAACAGTGGACGCACAGTGCAGTAAGCTATAAAGCATAATAATAATAATATTTTAGCGCTTGCACTTTTGCTAAGTGGCGTGCGTTTGGAATACAAATCTTGGCACCTACAATTCTATGCCGCCTCCGATCGGCAAACGGTTTTATGAGAAGCTTTTTCAAGGCAGAAATGTACTCGGAGGTTTGCCATTGCCTGCCGAGGGGCGACCGCTGCTAGGAAATTTGTTTTCTAATTTAGAAGTTGTGCGGACTAGGACCGAACCCAGGTCCTACGGAGTAGCAGTACGTATCTCTTAACAACTTAGCCACAGCAGCTCCCTGAATTGACTTTGCTGATTATAAACAAATATTGGTTTCTTTAACGATTTCGTCTGTAGGGGAGTGTAGAGGAGAAGTTTAATCTAAATGCTTTATACTATGTTGACGTTAAAACCTACTTTAATAGACAAATAGGACCAAGTTTAAGTGCAGTAACTGTAAACGAAAAGGCCTTGTTTCATCTCGGCAATAGGTTCTTAGTTACCCCAAAAGTCTCTTGTGAGCTGCTTTAAAGAATTTTTGACAAGTGAAGTACTAAGTGTCGAAGTACATGTCATGATCAAGATAAGGCCATCAATTTAACTTTTAGCGTTTGAACGCTACAAGTAGACCGAAGGCGGTCTAAGGAGCTCTAGAGACTAACCAAGTTACACTTTCGCTATTGGTCGAACTTCTAACCCTTCCTGCGCCAGATGCATGGAGGATGATGGAGTGGTGCCCTGCCTTTGACGAGCGTAAGGTCCAAGCATCGATGAGCTTTAGGGAATGAATATCAGTCGCTTGAGGAGCTTCCTTGCGAGCACGGAGCGTTTTTCTTATAAGAAGCTTTAGGTGTTGTCGTTCTTTCTCTTCACCCTCACCCTTCCTGTATCCAATTCCTTCAAGACTATAGTCTTATACTCGTATATATACTCGTAAAAGGTCTAACGTTGTGATCCAACTCAAGGTGCTTAGAATTCTTGGTCACGTTGGTTTATGATGTATTGTTATGTTCTTCTTTTCTAAAACTCAGAGCTCATCATAACACTACGTCCAGCTCTAATGTTCTAATGAAACCAGAAAGTTTCGATAGCGTTAGAGAGTGAATGTGCATAACAGCCGGAAGTGACCCGTTTGCAGTCCTATTATAAATCTCACGTTTGTCTTTTGAAGGGTGATTAGCTCCCTAGATCTTCTGGGGGTTGAACAACGAACTAATACTTAACAATACTTGTTAACCCCATTGAAAGTTGCTGAGAAGATAACCCTATGTCTGTGAAACATATCATGGTTTGCGTGCCGCTGACGTAAATTATCAAAGCAGGGTTAAAGTAATTGATCTCTGTACTCGTAGCTTTCTGTTTTACAACTGAGCTTTTAGCTTGCTAATTCACAACTGAACTTGCTCTGCGCTGTAGCAATGTGCCTTTATATACCCGCGTCGCTTTGCACCCATGGCAACTCTAAAAGGTTCTTATCGAAATTTATCGAACATTCCATTTGAGGTTTCTCGACGTCGAACTTTTACATCTTTTAACGCATTTTCTTTCATTCTCTTGTTGTTCGCTTTAGCCTGCCATTCATGTTTTGCAGTAATCGCCACAATATGCAGTAGTGTAACGATTTTCCGCCGTCTCGTGTAAATTTTGGTTTGGAGACAAATCGGTTTCGACGTTGTGTCATCTTTATTATCATTTATTTTCTTACTATTGATCCAGAAGGAAAAATAAAACTCCTAAGAGCAAACGCACCTCTCTTCTGGAAGGGGCATGCGAGAGTTTTTTTCTTAAGATGTTTAGAAAAATATTAAAATTTGTACAACTTGAATACATTTTTGTTTGCCTTCATGCTAGTCTTCAATTTACGTGCTTTCTTCTTGTTAGAATGTTTTAGAGAAATCGCTGCTAGTTGAAGCGGGTGAAAGCACTGGAGAACAGTTACACATATGGGTCTAAGCTTTATTGCAGAGTTTGTAGAGGGGTGTTTTGAATGAAACATACACATACATATTCATGCGCCTAAAATCTTAGTTTCTGGACCACTGTATTGTTTTCCCACCAGAGATAGTTGCTATTTTGGAATGAGTCGATTGGATGCACCATTATGGTAGTAAAGGAGCAATCAGCGCCTTGGTAACCCGCGCGATGCTAAAGTAGAGGAAAGTCTGACCACTCTTTCGTCTGTTTCTGATATTTTTCTAACGAGACATACATATATGGAACCCACGTGGTGGGCTGTCGTCCACTTTTGATCATTTTCTAATTACTCTTACATATATGGCACCAGACCGCAAGAATATTCAACCGGAAGCGATCTAGGCGATGTTTCACTTCCTGCGAACTCTCCTTGCACAGATGGGCCTTATGGCAGCTCAGGGAGCACTAGGTGAACGCCAGAACAATTACTAATTTTATTGTAGTTATGTACCCGCAAGATCTATCAAGCTGGAGCTTGACCTGAGGAACTCGGGCGATCTTCTTAATCTGGCAAAGCCGCAAATCTCCATTCTGGTTGGTTGGTTTTGTCGACAAAATTTCTGATGGCACCTCGCGCAGTGAGATTAAATACCAAACTAAACCCTTACTGTCACCGTTGCTTGGAGAATGATGAGGTGTACTTATCTCAAAATTTCCTCTTAGCCTGCTCAGTATTTTCTGGGTAGAGATATCAAAAACTTGGAGAACTTTGTTCTTGGCACACCAAGTTTACCTCTTCTTGTTTTTTATTGGCGCTGTAACCGCCTAAGCGATTTTGGCCGAGTCCAAAACAGCACGCCAGTCTTTTCTCTTCTGTGCTAACTGACGCCAATTGGCAATGCCAAGTGAAGCCAAGTCCTTCTCCACCTGGTCATTCCAACGCAGAGGAGCCTTCCTCTTCCGCTGCTACCAGCATCGTGGCCCGCGTTGAATACTTTCAGAGCAGGAGGGTTTCTGCCCATTCGAAGGACATGGCCAAGACAGCGGAGCCGCTGAATTTTAATTCGCTACACTATGTCTATATCGTTGTAAAGCTCATGCAGCTCATCGTTAAATCGTCTGCGGTATTCGCGCTCGCCAACGCGTAAAGGTCCGTAAATCTTATTAGGTTAGGTTAGATTAACCAGGCGCCTGCAAGTTTTTGTAAGCAGATGTCTTAGATAAATTCTCTATATTTGTTTGGCCTAAAACAATCTCAAATTATGAATTGCTCAGAAAGGCTAACATGGAGTCCCTTAACATCTGGATTCGAAGATAAAAAAGAAAGTGATAGGCCACACTTGGAAAAAAGGTTTTGGAATGGAATCCTCTAACCCCCTATCATCATCTTCCAAACAAGATGTACACCGGGGATCGTCGTTGATGACTAAGTCGTTTTCATAGATTGTGCCCCGTAATCAGTCCCATAAGGATCACTTCCTCTCTGCGTGAGGAAGAATTTTGCTACCACCATGCCAGGCCCTTTCAAGAATTAATTGAATGTTTCGCAGGCGAACCACAGTTCGCCAATTCATCAGCCAGTTCAGGTTCATTCAACCTTGCAATAGATATCAGTTTCAACTTACATTCTTGGACTATTTTTAAAGAGGTGCAAGCGGTTTCCACAGTCTTTAGAGCGGCTTCGCTGTAACTTCAGACCCTGATTTTATGTACACGCCACCTTTCGCCGATTATCCAGTCTGCTACTTTCAGTATTGCAAAGGCTTCGGATTGAAAGATCGTTGCCATTGCACTCAAGGTGGTAAGGTATCTGATATTAACGTCCAGAAGCCATCCAGTACCATTTTCAGTCTTTGAGCCGTCGGTATAGAAAATTTTCATCGAGCTTCCCAAGAGTGTCTGTATCGCTCCATTGCTCCCTTGTAAGAAATCTTACAACGTACTTACTTCTAAAGGAGACTCCAGGTATCAGTTTGTCAAGGGGTACTGCTCTGAAAGCCTTCTACTCAACTCTCTGTGCCTGGAACTGCGATCATCGAGCCACAATCCAAAGGAGCGCAGTCGACACATCGTTTTGATTGCCTCCCCTTGGATCGCTAAATACAGAGGTGTGAATACAACAAGCATTAAGAGCCGTCACTGGTCTGACTAAAGCTATATGCATGTGAACAATAATAGGGACACGACATTTGGACCAGTTTTGCCTACTTTTCTTTCGTTTATTTAATGTTTCTTACTTTCTTATAAAAATAGAGCTCATTATCTAACAAAAACCATATATGTAAGTCCAAATTTCAAACATTGAAGAAAAATTAGAAAAATTCAACAAATTTGTACCATAACATACTTTTTTTTAAAGAATTTTTAGAACAGTTCGAAGTATGCAGTTTTAAAGCCCATCAAATTTCTTCGCGTTGATTTTTGATAATTTTTTTCAGCCGATGGTGTTATTTTCTTCCCCAAAAAAAATGTCGGAACATACTTATTTGTTTGCCATTTTCGTCTGCCTGTCTAATTAACTTTGCTCGCAATGCTAGAACCCACCTAATACGTAATATGTACGAATAACATAATTTCGCTCGAAAATTTCCCACTTTTAAACACTGTGCGTGGCTTTTTTCTTCGTACTTTGAACGCTTTTGTTGCCTTCATAGACATGCATACAAACAAACGAATAAATGAATACTATTTATGCAATTTTGGTTTAAATCTAATTGAACCGAACCTCTGTGCCGACTGCAATCATTATAGGACAATAATGAGAGCTTTCCAACCATTAAACGAGCATTTCAAAGGAAATTCACAAAGCCAAAAAAAAAACAACAACAATACAAACAGACAAAGGAAAGAGCATACGAGTATTTATCTACATACATATGTACATACGTGCAATGTAAATACCTAAGTGGCATTAAGAGCGGGTGGTTCTATGTGAATAAGGCGAGGACTTTTTCCACAGTTA